GCTCTCACAAAGGTTGGGTCCCTGCTTGGTCTGGATCATGCGGGACCAACAGAGGTAGAAACTTCTCCGTTCTTCTCATGAGACTTAAACTGCCCACGCTCAAGCTTGAAGAGCTCTTCCCTAGCTTCCTGGTACCTCTTTAGCTAACGGGTGACCATGAGAATCAAAGAAGGGAAGTAAGGGAGGGAAATGCAGAGGACAGAGAAGATGGGACCAGAAGGGGGATGCCGCTGCACATGCCAGAGAGAGCGCATACCCAGATGGCCGCGTGCCCAGCCACAGGGAGGGACGCACTTACAGTAGACGGTGAGGATGATGGTGGTCTGAGTGCGCGTATTGAGGTGTGTGTTTTGGGCCAGGCAGGTGTAGGTGCCCGTCTGAGTCCGGGAGATCTTGGCTATCACATACTTCTGGCCGGAGTAGATCTGGGAGCTGTTGTAAAACCAGATGTAGTGGCTGGGCGGGTTGGAAGGGGCCAGGCAGGTCAGGATCACCTCCTCCTGCTCGTTAGCTGAGAAGCCGTTCTGGTTAATAGCAAACGGCTCAACGTTGATCACGGGTTCATCAGGGCCATCTGCAGAATGAAGCAGGAGGTGGTTAGCACCTGGCTGATGGCAGGATGGGGAGGGGCTCTGTTCAGATGACCGTCCGGCAGCTGGATCGTTTATCTGAATCTTTTTGGTCCAGGAATAGGACGTGGGGCTCTGTAGCCCAGGAATGGCAGGGGGGTCCGCTCTGACCCCCAATGCTGGGGGCAGGGATGGGGTTATGACCCCCAAAGTGGTTGCCAGCAGTTGTTTTCTGGGGGGATCATCATCGTATTCCCATTCCAAATCCTCAGTCCTTGTCAGACACCGGGGCAGCTGGGCTGCTGCCTGGGCCACGTGCCCAGGGGTGCCTGGGAAGCAGCACAAGGATTCTGGGCCGGGGGGAAAAGAGTCTGGAAGCCCTGGTTATGTTCTCTGGAGACGCTCTTTAGGGGCCTAGTGCTGGGAGGTGCTGAGAACCCCAGTTCCCATCGGCCTTGGTAGGGGTTATGGGCACTCAGCAGCTGGCAGGATCGGGCCTGGAGGGGGGCGTGTGACAGCAAAGCAGAGGGGCAGGACGTTTGCTCCTGCCTGCAGGTCACCTACAAATGACGTCGAGATACATCCTGTCGCTGGTCTGGCTGTTGACCTCGTTGTGGGCGGTGCAGGCGTACCAGCCCATGTCAGTCCGGTTAGCCGCCGTCAGGTTCCACAGCCCGCCGGCAGCTTCCGCGACAGCCACCGCACTCTCCCTGTTGGTGTGGCGGTGCCAGGAGTACCCAATGGGAGGCGTCCCCTCCTTCACTGCACACGTCATCGTCACCACCGTGCCTTCCACCGGCGTGGGGTCGGTCATCTGCAGGAAGGGCTTCGGAACGGGAACTAGGGGAGACCAAACACACAGCTCGGATGTGAGCTCACCCGCGGCAGCCTCTTGCGATGCACTCTGCCCCGTTCCCCACCCAATCCATTCCAAACCGCCCCGTTCCATCCCTCATCACCACGCCCCCCTCCATGCTCTCCATCCAGCTGGCTCCAGTCCCATCTCAGCCAAGCCAATCCTTTCATACTAATCCCTTCCATTACGACCTGCTCCGTTCTTTTCCAAGCCAGCCCTTGCTATTAGAATCTTGTCCATTACACTCCCAGGCGTGTGATTTTTCTGCTGTGCCCTTCAGACCCACGCTAACGAATGGCTAGAGACAGAGGGAAGGTTCTAGGGAGCCGTACAGAGGCGGGGTCGGTCAGCCCCCCACGATGGAAGCTGCTCCCAATGCAGCGTGGTCTCGGATGATCATTCAGCACAGACGGCAGCTCAGAGGGAGGTGGGGCAGCAGGAGGGGGCTGGACAGTCCTGCAGAGAAAGGCTCTGGGGGGTACAGAGACAGCTGAGGCGGGACGGGGCGGGGAGGAGGTCAGAGGGGCCAGGGAGCCATGAGTGGCTGCGAGAAGGAGGCAGTGGGGAGGTTGGACAGGTGGTGGGGAGAGGGAAGAAGATTAAGGCTTCCCAGCCGCCCACTGTTTTTGAAGGATTGAACTGGAGGGCAGCGAGTGTCCAGGCCCTAGTGCTGATGAGCTGGGGTGCAGGCCAGCTGCAGCACTCACCCTCTGAAGCCTGCTGGAGCCCAGAGTCTACGGGGGAGCTGCCCAGATGGTTCATCACAGAGCCAGGAGAGGGGCAGCCAGCTCCCAGCCCCAGAGCCAGCTGGGAAGTGGGGAGAGCAATCCCCTCTCATCCTGCCCTGCCAAGACGCGTGCTGGGCACCGAAGCTCTGTACCACCCATGGTGCCCTCTCGGGATCTCGCTCTGACCCCTCTCCCCAGGGGGAGAACTGTACAGGGTCCAGCCAAGCCCCGTGACCTGGCTGCTGGGCTCTGCGCAGCGCCAGTACCAGAGCCCTCCGCTGACTGACTGGTGCACCATGGGGGAGAGCCAATGCCCACTGACATCAATGAGAGCTCTGGGTCAGGGGAGCGAAGAGCTGGCTTTGGAGATAAATGCCCTGAGTTCTTCTTCTAACAAACATCCGGTGCCCGCCAGTAGTGGCCCCAGGACCAGCAGTAACTCTCCTGTCAATAGGGATGTCTGGATCCGGGTGTTAGTCTAGGCCCCTCCAGGGCCCGGATTCTCCACTGCTTCGCACTTGGTGGAGCCATTTACAGTGGTGCCAAGCAAGAGCGAAGTGGGTACAAAAGGCTCCCTGATCAGAATTCTCCACTCACTCCAGGGGCAGCGGCCTGTCCCCACAGTGCACACGTGTATCTGTGCTGGGGATATGCCTGCCCTAGGTGGGTCTGTTGGTGACTAACTCTGGTGGCCCTGCCAGGTACCACAGGAATCTAGTGGCTGGCTGCTGTGATGCCATCTCTCATGATTTTATTATAAGCCTGATGATATTTGGTGTTTTTCTTAAAGCCCCAGCTCCTGGAGTCAGGTGATGACACGAGCTTCTCAGCTGGCATGAAAAACAGTAAGTGGCTGTGGAGAAAAGTGCGTAAACGTGACCCAAGGCATCCAAAAAGTTCCCCCAAAAGCACCAAAATGGCATATTTTTTATAAATCTCATGATTTTAAAGCCACTTTCATGAATTTGGGGGGCACCTAACTCATGACTTTTGACCTCTTAGGGTTTGTGATGCCAAGGCTGGTTTGTGCCTGGCCAGTGGACTCTCAGCCCCTTGGTTTTACAGAGCAGCCCAGAGGAGCAGTGTCCACCCCAGAGCCGTTGGTGCTGCAGGCTGGGAACCATTCGAGCGAGAGCACTTGCTATGTCACGGCGAGTGACTGTCTGGCTGGAGCCCGCCTCTGTCACTTGGCACGGTTGCCTCAGCGGCAGCTGCACATGTGCCTCTGTTCTTGGCTGCTGGAGGCACTCTTTGATGCTGCACTTGATTGATTCTGTGCCCAGGGCAGATTGAAAACCTCTGCACGGTTCAGATCAGAGGGGACCCGGGGGGAGGGAGCACCCCGCCCCCACCATTAAAATGTGCCGCTTCAGCTGACAGATCCGTGTGTGGCCTCTGATTTTTGGTGCCCAACTCGACACAACCATGGCCTGATTCTCAGAGCTGCTCAGCACCCACAATCCCAAATGGAGTGGTAGGAGCTGCAGGGGCTCTCCTCTGCTGTAATGCCTGTAAGAACTTGACAACCAGCTGAGACCACGGCCGGTCATGCTAGCCAATATTGGCTCCTTTCTCTCCCCATCCATCTGTCTGTAGCCACCTAATTCTTGTCTTAGACTTAGACGGTAAGCTCTTCGGGGTAGGGACTGTCTTTCTGTTCCGTGTTTGTACAGCGCCTAGCACCATGGGGCCCTGGGCCATGAGCAGGGCTCCTTGGTGCCACCACAGCAATAAATAACTGAAGCACCCCAAATCAGAGGCTAATATTGAAAAAATTTGGCTCTAACCTCCCCCTGCCTCAGTTTTCCCATATGTAAATGAGAATAGTTATCCTCACCCTCCTTACCAGGGCAAGCTCGGTTCACTGAGTGCTCTAGGGTACTCCCAGGGCAGGCATCAGACAAATGCCAGGTGTTAGAATTCCTAGAACAGGTTGCTATTCCTAGGAAGTTTATTCAGAGAGTTTTCCCACCAACTGATGAGTAAATAATCCCCCTCTACGGAGCAGAGAATGAATTGTTCGCAAACGTGTCCCATCCATCAGTCAATGAATTACTAGCGAGTCATTTTCCCAGCTCTGCCTTGTCGCCATGATTGTTTTCGCCCCAAATCTCTCCCTTTTTATATCTCCAGTGATCGTGGTACGGATGCTAACAGCACCTGGCTCACACGGCTTTGATGTGAGCTGGAATAAACACCTGATGGGACTGGAATTCTTTGGCCTTTGATATACAGGAGGTCCAACTAGGGGATCTAATCAGTCCCTTCTGGCCTCAAACTCTGAATGAACCTATGAAATGTTCTGTCTTTATGAGAGTCACAGTTTGCAGCTAATACTGAAGAGAAAGCCAAAGGGCTTTGAGCCCTGGACAGATGACAGCTCTTCCATCGGCAGCGAGCCCCTGTGCTCTGGAGTTCATGGACATACCAGCGGGAAGTGGCTGCCCGGCACTGAGCGACATTCTTCAGGAAGATAATCTCCCAGCAACCAAGAAGTATTTGCCAGTGGAGTCTATCCAACCCCAGCCAGCAGAGTGCATGTGAACAGACACACTGCGCGGGGAGGAGCTGAGAACCGCTGGGTGTCCCAGGAAAGGTGGGATATACACCCCACACGGGTCCGGCAGAAAATCCCTGACAGTAACCCCCCAGGCAGGAATACTGGGATTCGGCCACAATGCTGCAGCTCCACCTGCAGCTCCGGCTGGATTTCAAGAGGTCTAAGTGTGCCTGCTTAGATTGCTGAGCAGAACATCTGCTTTGCTTTGCACCAGCTTGCGTGATGATGCAGAATGTGACTGCGGCGTGGCCGCGTAGGACACCATTCTGCTCAGCAGGGTGCCTGGAGATATCCCTCTCTCCCTGGCAGTCTCTAGCCAGGTGAGATCCAGGCACAGAGAGCATGCAGAACGCCAGGGCCCAGAGATGAGAATGCCATTGTGCCCACAGATTGTGCCGTTGTGGTTAAGGTCAGTAAGGCAGCCCTGCCGTCTCACTCACTCCCATCACACAACCCAGTGCCAAAGGGCTCTCTTCAGGTTGCTCCTGACCAAGGGGAATGTTGGCCATGCTACACAAGGCCTTGTAGCACAGGGTCAGGAGAGGAGCCTCCAGAAGGAAGCAGAGGAAGTCCTATTTTTGGAGGCATTGAGAACTAAGCCCTTTGGGGCAAGGACTGCCTGTTTGTTCGGTGTTTGTACAGCACCTAGCACAGCAGTGTCTGGTCCTAGGCACTACCGTAATATAATAAGGACAGGCTGGGTTAGGAGGCAGAGAACATATTGCATGGGACATCTTGGGAGGGTGGAACAGCTGGGACCAAATGGGTCTCTTCCATCTCCCATCATCTTTGCAGGCAGCAAAGGGCAGCTTCACCTGCAGGGATACGAGGCACAGACGAGTGGGGGTGCGTGTGCAGCGATTGGATGAGATGGTTGGGCATCGGGGCCCCTGGATTCTAGTCCCACCCTGCCACCCTGGGTGCGACCCGCTTCCCCTCCCTCTGCCTCAGTTTGCCTGCTGCGGTTGCGCCCCACCTCAGTGGGGTGGGTCTGCGAGGGTTGTAACAGGGCACTCGAGAAGGGAGCACAGTAGGACTGTGGCTTCGGGTTGGGGGACCCTGGCTGGTGCCTTCGTATACTTGTTCAGAGAGTCCCAGAGGTGACGCGGCCTCCACGCTACCTACCCAGCACGACCAGCTCTATGTAGAAGTAGCCCACTTTGATCTCGCCGTCCTCCTCGAACATCGCCTGGCACATGAAGCGCCCTTGGGCAGCCGTCTGCAGGTCGCTCACTTCCAGGGTGCCGTTCCGCAGGCTCACCTGCCCCAGGGCCGCAGAAGCCTTCTCCACCTTGGACTCTATCCCGTTGCTGATGGCAACGGCCCTGGGCACCAGCGAGCCCAGCTTGGTGAAGCTCCAGAAAACCACCATGGGCGAGACCACGTCGCCGCACGCCAGCTGCACGGACCGGTGCCGCACCCCCCGCACGGCCTGCTCCTCGTACTTCGCATCGCCCGGGTGGAGTAGCTGAGCTGGGGTGAACAAGAGAGGAAGGATGGGCCAGGGGTTAGAGCGGCAGCCTGAGACTCAAGGAGACCGGGGATCAGTTCCCTACTCCGGCACAGGCTCTTGGTGCATCACTTCCCCTTTGCTCAATGGGGATACAGCACTGTCTGCGTTGTGGGGATGGATACGGGGACGGTTGGGAGGTGCTGGTAATAGGCACTGAAGACAGCGTAAGAGAACAGTGTCCCCTGGAGCTCTAGGTAGCTGCCCCCAGCATCAGCAGGTTTTCCCAAGGGATAGAATTTAAAACTTTGCCCGTAACACTTGTTTTATGTTCTCTTAGCAGGCGAGAGCCTGGAAACACACAGCTAGGGAAGAGGAAGGACCAAATCCACAAAGGGAATTGGGGCTACTGGTATCCCAGAAAGAGCCTATTTGACACAGTGCAGTCAGTGCTCCATAGAATATCAGGGTTGGAAGGGACCTCAGGAGGTCATGTAGTCCAACCCCCTGCTCAAAGCAGGGCCAATCCCCAATTTTTGCCCCAGATGCCTAAATGGCCCCCTCAAGGATTGAACTCACAACCCGGGGTTTAGCAGGCCAATGCTCAAACCACTGAGCTACCCCTCCCCCCATGTTTACACTTGGAGGGCATTCGGGGCTGGCCCTGTAGGATGCACAGCACAGGGGCAGTGTCATTCCCCACCCACAAGCTGCATCCTGCCAGGGTGAGAGGGGAGCTCATGCTGCCCGGCCCGTTCAGCTCGTGAGATGGCCAAGCATGGGGGTGGCTCTGCGATGTGGGGTCCTGTCCCCTAGGGACTCCCCCGAGCTCAGCCTTTCAAAGGGAATCTGTTCCAGGGAGTTGGCAGCACCTCCAGCTAAGGACAGAGAGGAATCCATTTAACCGAGAGCGACGCGTCCCCCGAGAGGAGGGGTGGGCGGCAGCAGAGAAATGGAGCCTGCTGAAATCTGTGCTGCGTAGGCCTTTGCTCCCGGGAGAGGCGCTGCTGAGCCAGGAGGAGGTTTCCAGCACAGTGCCCCACGTCTGGATAATCCGAGGGAGCTGCTCAAGGACCTGGCAGGATTAGCACAGCTCAGGTCGCAAGCGATCGATAGGGATCCAGACAGGGCTGGGCGTTCATACCAGTCACAGGACGGTCCGGAGTTATCAGTGCGAATATTAGTAACCCATCAATATCATAGCGACTCTCAAGAGCTTTGGGGAGGGTTATAAACCCTCCTGCTTCTGCACAAAAGCCCCAAACCTCTAACTACTGGGGGCTGGGGCTGGGCGCGCTGGTTATTTGGAATTAACCCTTTGCTTCCTCCCATGGATTTGTCGCACCAGGTTCACCGCGCCTTGTGTCATCATGTGCACCAGAGCAAAGTGCTGCCGGCTCAGCATGGGGCCGTTCGTGTTGGCGTCGCACAGGTGCAGGGCACTGGGCAATTTGGCCCTTAGCAATGTACCGAGCCCATTCTCTTTGCATGGGAGCCGTCGCCCAGGGATCTGGCTGAGCCAGAGCCCGGTACTCACCGTAAGCCACTGTTGGGAGAAGGCAAAATATTTTCAGCAGGTTTCTAAATGGTGAGTTCCTGGCTGGTCCATAATCCATGTCTCCATGTCACTCTGAGAGACAATCAGCCCTTAGCTGCCTCCACACTGGCGCATCTCACTCTGCACCCAGTCCCGCTGCCACTTTTCCCACCTCCTGGTGAGTCCGAAGCCCTGTAGAATCTCTGTGGTGCGGGAGCAGGACGTGTCTGTCTCCTCTTTCAATAGCCCATCCGCCTAAATGCAGCCCAGTTCGGTCTCAGGTTACTCTGGATAGTCCCTGATTAGTCCTCAATTATTCATATCCCTTCTCTCCCTTAATCACTTTTCCTTGATCTATTATGCAGGCGCCTCTTTACGGAGTCACCTGTCGCATTCCCTTGGCCTGGTGTCTCACGTTCATGGAAATCTGAATTGAAACGACGGACGAGTCCCCAAGGGCGGATCTGGGGTCTGATGGTCAGGGACTGGGGTGCTGCCCAGAGCTGTGCAGGTCAGGGCCCTCTCCCTGCACCAAAGTCATAGCTGTGCTTGAAGCGTCAGGTTATCACAGACTCCAGAGCAAACTGCCTCACCAACAGACCCAGGGCCCCATTATTGGGTATAGCTTGGGTGGGGGGGCAGCATCCCTCTCCTCCCAGCATCTCCACGCGACAGCCTAGAAATCCCCGCCTGTGTTTCAGGCTAGGGCCTCTCTGCCCCTCCAGTGAGTGGGGCTGCGGTCTCTTTCAGTGTGTGTGCGCACCTGGGGGGGGGGGGCCGCCAAGGACCGGGCTGGGCTTGATGCAGAGTACGAGGGAGGGCATCATCTTCCCCCTTTGAAGACATGGGCTCCCGAGAAGGCCCAGCCAGTGTCTCTGGTCATTTCATGCACTGAGCTAAGGAGGGTGCAAATCTGAGACCTGCCTGGGACCTTCCCAAAAGAGGCTATATAATGTAAGCTGGGCAGTGGGGCTGTGTCTGGCTGCATCCGAGGATGCCTAGCCTTGGCATCTCTGCCCAGCTGGCCTTGCAGAAACGACGCTGTATCGTGGGTCCCGTTCAGAGCAGACATTCAGGGGAGAAAGGCAGCATTTGCCATATCAGAAAAGTCCAAAAGTCCATCTGGACCTGCCCCAGTGCTTCCTGGGAAACCAGTGCCTCCAACCCATAATGCACCTGGCTATTTGTGCAGAGCTGAACATAAGAGGCACATTTCCTTCCTGACCCCTGCTGAGGGGTCAGCTGAAACATGAAAGCAGGAGACCCAATCACCCTTATCCCAGAGCGTAAAACTAGCAATGGTCTTACCCAGCCCCTTCACAAAGCCAGCTACCATGTGGCCTCTTCCAGCCAGGAGCCCATTTCCCTGGCACCTTCCCATGGGCTGGGGGGAGCTTTCAGAGCTGAGTCTGTGGGGGAGCCTGCTCTCAGTTACAACGGTTCCCAGAGACGGAAGAAAGCAGCACCCCGCGTCTCAGCAGGTGAAACAAGATTTCGATGGGTTGCTGCTCAGTATTTGCAGTCTGCCTCCCGGAGGAGCCAGGTTAGGTATCCGCCGTGTCATTTATTCATGACTGGGGTGGCCGGTGGGTTTAACTTTCATCCAGGCTTTAAAAACAAACCCATCAAGCTCAGGGAGCCACTGGGACTGCCCAGGGGCCAGGTCTCGCCAGGACTGTGAGGTCCTCTACAGCGCAGACACTGGCAGCTAGGGGAACATCTGCTTTCCAGGCCTACCCACCATGTAAACACCACTGGGACAGATTCGTTACCATCACGTCCTGGAAACTCGATCCCTTCGCTCCACTCAGCCCTGCCCCGTCCGCCTCAGCTGGTCTCAGCCACCCCCCACTCAGCCTCACAGGCCTGCTCTTCTGTAGCCCACGACATCACTCACTCTCTGTGGCTTGCCACAGCTTGTGGGCATGGCAGCCAGATGTGCTGTACGCACCCTCTGGGTCAGCTAGTTTGGACCAGGACTGGGTGATGATGGACTCAGTTGAGGAATGTGCAGCCCCTGACACAACTGGAACCTCCAAACATTTTCCTTAGTGATGCTCTGCTACCTCCTGACTGGCAGGAGAAGTCTTGATGCATGAAGACTCTGGCCACCCCTGCTCACTGCCTTTGGCTTTCACCAGGACTTTGCTTAGGACGGAAAATGCTGCAGATGGACAGTCTGCTCATTGACTGTGATAACTCTCCAGAGGGGGACAATTGCTGAGGCCTGGACTTGTCCATTCTGGGATGTACCGAAGGACACTGCAATGGAGTTTGGTGCACAGGACAGCAAACCTAGTGCTGCTGACCGGTGCTAGCTTGACATCTCTGGAGAGTGAAATCTGCCTGTTCACATCTGTCCGTCCCTCGCCCTGGAGCTGGGTAACCTGTGTCTGGGGTCAGAGATGGGGAGAGGCCCATATAACCCTTAGTCTCAGTCAAGGTGAGGATTAGTGCCAAGTATCAGCAAGGAAGGATGGTCGTGTGGTTAAGGCTGGGGAACATCTGAGGTCAGCTCCTGCCGGTGGGACCTAGGCAACTGCGTCAGGGCTTGTCTAGACAGAGAGTTAGTGTGTGGCAAGCTGGGGTGTAGCTCTGCCATGCACCAACGGAGCTTTACCATTGACTTCAACAGGCATGGGATCAAGCCTATCGGTTGTGCTCCCTTCCAGGGGCGTGGGGACTGTCTTTTACACTGTGTAGTTAAGAGTATACAGGGCTTTGATCCTAGCTGAATCAGACCCCCGGATCCCATCGCCCATTCCTCTGCTATGCAACGGCTGAGCAGTGCCAGAGCGTGCAGACAGCACCTCCCCATAGCCCTGTGCATGGGAAGTGACCGGCAGCGCCTCGCCCCAGAGAACAGCTCACCCGCGTCCCCAGCATTCGAGCTGCCCAACTGCCCGCCGCAACGTTTGGTAGAAAAATTCATTGTAACCAACGACTTGGGCAGTAGCTCTAAGGAGAGGCCAATCGCACAGCCCACTCGCTGCTGCAGACAGAGGCAGGAGTGTTGGACTAGAAGTTTCCATAAGAGCTTTTCAGGGCGAGGGTGAGGGCTGTTTATCTTGGAGAAGTCCTGGAAGTCACAGCCACGCCGAGCTAATTTACACTCGTCTGGCTTGAGGCTGGGGTGACTTCACCTGTTTGGATTCGCCTGGTGTTTAATAAACTGGCCCTTTTTCTCCTACGTTCCTCTTTCCCGCTGCAATTCCCTTCATGTATTTTTTTCCATTCCTTGCCTGCAAAAGAGGTCGCCGGGTTCTTGCTCTCGCTCTCTCCTTCGATCGCAGCATCTCAGACGAGCATTGCCAGCTGTGATAGCTCTCAGCTAGATGCCCTCATGAGAATTCAGGGCAGGGCGAGGGGAGGTTGTTACTGTCCCATTTTGATCTGTAGAAGAGCAAAGCGCCCTCAGCCTGCAAGCAAGTGTTCATTTTCACCGGGGCAAAAGGGCACTGATTGCACAGCCAAGTGGCAGTTTTTCCACTTTTCAGTTCTGGAGCAAGCAGCAAAAACATTAAGTCAAAAGCGGACACTGTCTGCTTTGCTTTCTACAGGGCTGGTGAAGGTGTGATCCCTTAGCTGGAGGGCAGCAGGCCAGCTCCCTGGGGGCAAAGACCCATCTGTTCATTATTGGGGTGGGGAAGTCCTGGGAACACATCATCGAAATGTTTCATGAGTTCCCACCCTTGCAACCACAGTGAAATAAACTAAAGCTCATAGCAGGACAAGAGGCCCCCCCGGGTGTCATTCCCAGACAATTATTCAGAGCAATATGAGCTCTAGCTGCAGCCAGGGAGACTCAAGGATCCTCTCCCCAGAGATCTCTCCTCCCTGAATCTCCCAATGAAGAGTCAGCTGCTACGTGTGATTCTTGTCTTTTGTAAGAATGGCCCATGGCCCATCTAGCCCAGTATCCTGTCTCTGACAGTGGCCAGTGCCAGAGGAAATGAACAGAACAGGGCGATTTCGAGTGATCCATCCCCTGCTGTCCAGACCCAGCTTCTAGCAGTTGGAGGTTTAGGGACACACAGAGCATGAAGTTGTGTCCCTGACCATCTTGGCTAAGAGCCATCAATAGACCTATCCTCCATGAACGTATCTAATTCTTATTTGAATCCAGTTATACTTTTGGCTTTCACAACATCCCCTGGCAGTGAGTTCCAGGGGCTGACCCAGAATTACAGGCCTTAAAGGAACCCTCCGCCCTTAACTAACAATGCACTTACAATTCCCACAATTATGAAAATTGTGGGAATTCTACACAGCAGCTGCCAAATAGCGGACAGTCAACTGGACGAGACCCTAGCAACAGAAATCCATTCCCTTGGAGCAGATACCATCTTTTTGTTCTGTGTTTGGACAGCCCCTAGAGCAGTGCAGGCCAGGTACATGACTAGGGTTCGGAGATAATACCAATAAATAAAAATGAGACCAAACCAAAATCTCAGTTCCAAGCAGCCAGCCCAACTTCGATCTGAATCTGAAATGTATGCCTGGCTCCTCTCTCTAGAATGGGCCAGGCTCCAGAACAGAGCTCAGACCCAGCTCTGCATATAACCCATTTCATGTGAGGTCTGGGATGCTGCCATGGCAGGACAGATCTCTGCCCCCCTCATAGCTTCATAGATTGTAAAGCCAGAAGGGACCATTATGATCATCTAGTCCAACCTCCTCGCCCATGTCCTGTGGGCGAGTTTGGCTATATTTCTAGGAAAACATCCAGGCTTGATGTAAAGACTGCAGTGATGGAGAATCCGCCATGTCCCTTGGTAAAAGTCCTTCCAGTAATTTCTCCAGGCTCTTTATATCAACTTTTATAGACATGCTTTTTTCACCCCCACCTTGTCATCAGCAGGGTTTGAAGGCAGGCCCAGGGAGAGCCCACGTTCAGATGAAGTACCAGCAGGCCTATCACCTTATGCCAAACTTCTGACAGCGCTCCTGCTAAAGGCATGTCGGGGAAGGCCTATGCTTGGATGGGAGACCCCCCAGAGAACTGTGTGCCCTTCTGGCCTCTGCATCAGCCCTGCACAAGCGCCCCAGCCTGGTAACAAAGGCACTGTGCTGCTGGGGGAACCCCTTCCAGGTGAGTCACCAAGCTGGAGGTGGTGTGTGTACCTCCTGGGGCCTGGGTCTCTCTGTACTGCACCGTTATGTTCCTAGGGCTCTGCTGTCGGACAGAAGCAGCCACCATCTTGTCTTGGGTCAGCTGCAGAGTGTGGCCTCCAGGGGATTGGCCTTTTGGTCTTTCTTCTGCCACTGTTTCCCTTTCATCTAAAAGGAAAGGCACAGGGGCTGGAGGCGTGTGTTCAGTATAAACCGAACCCTGCTCGTGCCGCTGTAGAGGGGCAAACTCACCCCTGCAGCGCCTCCTGCTGGTTACATCTGGGAATTAGCTCTTCCAGCATCCTGGCGCACCTTCTGCAGGCCAGTGATCCACCTGTCCTCCGGCCCCCGTGTCCCTCCCGGACCCTGGTGCCCTTTTATCTGGGGTGCTGCCCCCTGGCAGTACACCCCTCAGTACTAGGGTCTCCCCACACAGGGGAACCCCCACCCACTATCCCTACCACACCTCAGAATAAGGCCACTGCCAGTCACCAACTAGCCCCCTCTCCCTCAGGCAGACTGCAGTATAGGTCACCCATCACAGGCAAGGTTGGGTTTGGACCTGCTGCCTCAGCCTACCCCTGGGCTGCTGTCTGCAACCCCCAGTACCCCTTGGCCTCCTACCAGGCCGCAGCCTGGGGCTATCCAGGCTGGAGCTCCCCAGCCCTGCTCCACTCAGGTACTCTGTCTCTAGCTCACTGCAGCCAGGCCCTTCTCCTTCTGAAGGCAGAGAGAGACTGCTGAGTTCCTGGCTCCCAGCCTCTTTATACAGGCCAGCTGGGGCCTGATTGGGGCGTGGCCCAGCTGCAGCTGCTTCCTCAATCAGCCCAGCTTTGCAGCTCCCAGCCACAACCTTCCCCCAGGGCTGTTTTAAACCCTTCAGGGCAGGAGCGGGATAACCACCCCGCTACAGCCGCCCATTGGTGTAGGAGCTGAGCTCCTGGCGCTTTGTAACCTATTTACCCCACAAGGGAGGGCAGCCAGGGAGCTAGAGCACCCAGAGGCTAAGTGACTTGCCTGGGGCCGCGAACCGAAGCCCAGTCTCCTGAGTTCTAGGCTAGAACCTGGCACAGGAAGAGCCCTGGCAATAAAAATATTCTGGCTGCTCCCCTGCGACCCCGGCCCTACAGCTCGGGGGTGACGAGAGCCTTAAACCATTGGGTGTTTCAGGATGCTCAGCCACACATGCAAAGTGCTCCTGTTCATTAGCGAGGCCACGGACAG